GATTCTTTATGTTGCTGATGTATTGTAATTCTTGTACTTTTATTATCTTAGTTATCGTTATCATTATCTTCATAGCTACTGTCATACAACTTTCCTCTGGTTTTACTCAGTCTAGGGATATCCAGAGGAGTATGAACTAAAGCATCACTGGCATTTCCAAGGTTAATTAACTTATCTTACATCATTTTAAGAAATGACTCTTATTTCAGCAAAGATAATTAAACACAAAAATGTTAACAATTATAGATTTAATGTTATACCATTAAATATAACGTAGAACTCCTTACACAAATCCTGCTTATATAATGATATGAAACAAAAGTATAAATAAAATTAATAAAGCAGTAATGAATATCACGACAATGTTGTTAGTCTTTGACAGGACACGTGATCATGTTTAAATCACATTTCATTGAATAAATGTCAAAACAATATCCACACATGTATTATGAAAATATCACTGAGACTTTCAACTATTCTGCTGGAGTCCTGGTTATGCTTGTCAAATGAAACTAGGGTAAATTCACGCAATACAAAATAAGATACAAATCTTACGTCAAACCCACCATGACAACCTGCAAACATTCAAATCAAAACCAACTAAACTTTGTTTACGCCAATGTGGTAATTACTAATACCTTTCAAATTAAGTAAATTTACTTTACCCAAATAATTATGAAACCATTCAAATTTACACAAATAAGTTCCAATAGACTATATAAGCATTTATGAATGCAAAAGAACGAAAACGTATTCAACGTGACCAAAGAAAACGGTTAATTCACCTTAGACTTAACTATATCACATTTTTTATGAATTTCCTTATCCTTTTACATAATAACTATATGACACTCCCCTCCTTAAAATAAAAACACTTTGTGTTTTTATCACAAGAGTAATTAGAAAATATCAAACTCATTTTACAATCACACTGAGCGACTTAATGCATCGGCTATCAGATTATCTTTTCCTTTAATGTGTTTTATTTCAATGTCGTACTTTTGCAAATTTAGACACCACCTCATTAATCGCATGTTTCGATTTTTCATGCTATTCACAAACTTGAGTGGATTATGATCTGTAAACACTGTTAGTTTTCTACCATTATCAACATAAACACTGAACTTTTCCAAGGCAATAATTAGTGACAATGCTTCCTTTTCTATGGTTGCATATGATTTCTGGTGGGGCTTGAACTTCGTGGAGGAATAACATATGGGATGTAGTACACCATCTCCATCCTCTTGGAGCAAGACTGTCCCTACAGCAATGTCACTTGCATCAACCTGAAGTACAAATGGTTGATTAAAGTTTGAGCTTTTCAAAACTGGATTTGAGCTCAGTAGGTCTTTAAGCTTATCAAAAGATACTTGACAATCATAAGTCATACAATTTTTTCTTTGGACTAATTAAATCAGTTAATGGCTTTGCAACATCAGCATAATTTGGGCAATACTGTCTATAATAACCTGTCATACCAAGAAAAGTTTGAACTGCTTTTCTGTTCTTGGGAATGGGTAAAGACTGGATGGCATCAATCTTTGCACTAACTGGAAACACACAACCACTACCAACTTCATGGCCGAGTACTTTTAGTTTAGCATGACCAAATTCTGATTTCAACAAGTTCACAGTCAACTTAGCTTGTCTTAAACGTTGGAACACTTGGTTCAGCACTCCAATATGATCTCTCCAGGAGTCCAGGTATGCAACAACTCTCTCCAACCCTGATAAAATGTTGGTGATTAATCTCTGAAAAGTAGCAGGTGTTCCTTCATACCAAAGGGCATAGTTTTATACTGATATAAACCTGTAGGAGTTATCAAAGCTGAGATTCTCTTTGCATTATCAGTAAGTGGAACCTGATAACCTATTAAAAGATCAATACGTGAAATAAATTTTGAAGAGCCAACTTTATCAATTATGTCATCGATTCTAGGAAGTGGGAAACAATCTGAAACTGTAAGGGTATTAACTTTTCTATAATCAGTACACAATCTCCAACTACCATCTGATTTAGGCACTAAAAGGCAAGGAGATGCCCATTCACTAGTACCTGGTTCAATTATATCATTGTCCAACAAAAATTTAATTTCTTTACTCAAAATCTCAAACTTAACTGGAGACATCCTATAAGGTGGTTGTTTCACTGTAGTAGCTCCGGGCAGCAGCTTTACATCATGCTCCACTAATGACGTGTAGCTAGGAACATCACTGAACAATGTCGGGAATGCTTCTAAAAGTGATATTACATCCTGAGCTTGATCTGAGGATAAATGGGTTAGCTTTGCACAAATATTATTTCTTACATCACTGTTCCTGAGTTTCACCTCACCGTTTTATGTTCAAAGTCAGAATCATACTGTTTACAATCATGATTACTACTTGATTTAGCCTTTTTACAAGTACTCATGACAGTTTTCATTTTCTCAGTTCTATCAATATACTCCTTCAGTCTGTTAATATGTACTACCTTTTTATCTCCTTTTTCCCCTGTTTTTGCAATGACATAATTAACATCACTTATCCTGTCTATGATCTTGTAAGGACCTTCAAACTTAGCACTTAATGGGTATTTCCTGGTAGGGTTAAACAGCAATACTTCATCACCAGCACTGAATTTTCTATTTATCGCCCTTTTATCAAAATTATCTTTCATCTTACTTTGTGCCTTTTCCATATTTGAAATTGCAAATTCTCTCACTTTATGAATTCTTTCAATCATATTTTCCACATATAAACTTAAATTGTCCGTCTCGTATTCATTTACCAAACTTTTAAAAAGAATCTCTAAAGGTCCTCTAATCTGATAGCCAAATAAAAGCTCACTTGGGGAATAACCTAAACTTTCATTTTTAGCAGTTCGCACTGCGTATAACATAAACGGGACACTTTCATCCCACTCTTTGTCAACCTCATTACAAAATTTTGTCAAAGTGCATTTAAGGGTTTGATGTAACCTCTCTAATGCTCCTTGACTCTCTGGGTGGTAAGCAGTAGAGTTACATTGTGTAACATTTAATATTTTCATAACATCCTTAAACATTTTACTGGTGAAATTAGAACCTCTGTCACCCTGTATACCAAAAGTTGTGAAAAACATAATCAATGCAGGCATAATAGTTTTGGTGGTTATGTTGTGTAAAGGTATAGCTTCAGGATACCTTGTACTTGAGCACATTATTGTCAATAAGAACTTGTTCCCTTTTTTGGTTTTAGGTAGGGTCCCCCACAATCAATTATTACTTTAGAAAATGGATCATTAGTTATAGGAATGGGATTCAATGGGGCTGATGGAATTTTCCGATTTGGTTTACCAACAAGCTGACACAGTTTACATGAGCCACAAAATTCCTTAACATCTTTGTTAATACTAGGCCAGAAAAAAGCATTTCAAAATCTTCTCCTAAGTTTTCTTTACTCCTAAATGACCTCCAATAAAATCATGGGCCAAGCTCATTACTTTGTACCTAAAACAACTTGGTATTACAATCTGGTGCAAATCAAACCACTCGCAACAAGGATCATCTGCATTACGAAATTTACGCATTACCATCCCATTCTTTACATAATACATTTTCCTTTCTTTTTCTAGGTCTTGTGTACTCCCTGCTTTATTAAATAATGTTCTCAAAGATGGGTCAGACTTTTGTGCTTCTACTAGTCTTTCTCGTGTTATGGGTACAGTGGTTAAAATTCAAAACATCACTCTTACCTTTTAAATTATCACAATTATGCTCACTCGTCTCCGCTAACTTAAAGTCACGTAATTCACTTGGAGACATTGACTCATCAAAAAGACAACTAATATTCATACTTCCCTCACTCTCCAAGTTTTCATTTAAAGTCTGTGGATGAATCATCACATTAGTCTTACTCCTGGTCACAGCACATGATGGGAATAAACCTGGATTTCTCCATCCTCCTGTACAGGATCAAAACTCAAGGGTTTATCTGAAACAATGACATTTGGTACCACAATTCTACCTGCAATATCATTACCCAAAGGTAAATGTATGCCTGGAACTGGTAGAGTATCTGCCACAGCTACTTCAACAGGGCACGTCAAACATTCTGACTGCAAAAACAGCTTGCAAAGGGGGACTAACTATACCACCAACTCCTCTCATCAAAACATGCTTATCCGTCAAAACATTCTCTAAAAACGGTAAAGCACACTTCAACACAATACTTTGTGAAGAAGCTGTATCCCGCAGGATAGTAACTGGAACTGGTTCACCACCCTCCACAGCAGATATCAACCCTGTAAACTTATAAGGATCAAAACTCTTATCAACTATGACATCAGAATTACCTTACTAATATTCTGTAAATTCTCTGGAACAGAACATACATTAGCAACAGATTTTTCCCTTTCTTTTTTCAACTTAAGTTTATGACAATTAGCAACAATGTGACCAGCTTCTTTACAATAGTAGCAACCTTTAAATCTAACTGTATTATTACCATAAATTTAAAATCTTTCATCATAATTTTTTGCACAGTTTTACTTTCATTTCTAAACTTCTATAACTTTGAAACTTTTTATTCACAAGACTAAAATTTTCAGCTAGTTGTGCTGCTTTATCAACTGAATTTACCTCTCGCTCTAAAAGATAACGCTTTACTTCTTGAGGAATACCTCTAAAGAACTGCTCCAGCAAAATAGTTTCACTCAACTGTTCATAATCTGTTACACTACTTGCAGTTAACCATCTCTCAAATAACTTCTTTGAGAAATGTGAATATTCTAGATAAGCTTGGTTTACATCTTTCTTATTGTTTCTAAATTTTTGTCTATAAAATTCTGCAGTCAGTTGATATGACTTTAAAACTGTGGACTTCACCATATCAAAATTTAACTGTTGAGCTGCTGAGAGAGAAAAATAACTAGAACGTCCTTTCCCTTTCAGGACAGACTGAATCAAAAGTCCAAAACTCTCGAGGCCAATTCAGTGTATTAGCCACATGTTCAAATTGAAAAAAAATTCTTGAGGATCGTCCTCATTGAATGGGGGAACAAACTTGGTTACTTTAACAACAGAAAAATAATTGGTGTCTATAGCATGTTGTTTATTAGCTGAAGTTTGTATCTGAGCTAACTTTAATTCCTTTTCTAGTTTATATTTCTCAAACTCAATTTCCTTTTTTCTTAATGCTATGGCTGTAATCACTTTCAGACTCTTTTGTGTCTGTGCCCAGCAAAGTTAATGCATCATCATCAAGAATTTCTTTCTCGATTATTACCTTGACAACAGTTTGCTTAATCTCTGACTTTGGCCAAGATGATTTAATTGAAATCTGGTAATACTCAGCAATTGCTTTCCAGTCATCTTTTCTTATTTTAACTAAACTTGACAAAGATGGATTACTGACAAAGTCTGCTAAATTAAACTTAGCCATCATGAGTCACTGGTCACTACAAACTCAACAAAATATGTTTCAAAGTTTCAAAGAACATATGAAATAATAATCAGTAATCACATGCAAATTAGCATATAATACACTTGTAGCTAAATGAAATCATCTCAAATTGGTCAGGTCAGGCCCCCATGTCATACAACTTTCCTCTGGTTTTACTCAGTCTAGGGATATCCAGAGGAGTATGAACTAAAGCATCACTGGCATTTCCAAGGTTAATTAACTTATCTTACATCATTTTTAAGAAATGACTCTTATTTCAGCAAAGATAATTAAACACAGGGAAAATGTTAGCAAAG